ACCACTCCTTGGTGTGCAGCAGAATAAAACTGCAAACAAAGAGATTGCATCACTTGAAGAATGAAGGAAGACCACGAATTGACATCAACAAGACCCGCAATCGGGGCAAAGTGGAGGAATTTGCACAAGTACTCAAGGAAACTCTCCCAGGCCCAGCTGAAATAAATGCATCTGAACGATGGGAATATTTCAAGAATGCTGTTTATAACACCATCCTTGTCAGTAAGGAGATCAGAAAGACAGCAGATTGGTTTGAAGCCCATTCGGAGGAGTTGACGCCAACCATCGAGGAAAAAAGGATATAAAGCCTGCATATAAAGCCTGTACCAGTGAGCGCAACCTACATGTTCTGCGAGCTGCTCGTAGCAAAGTCCAACAGACCGCCAGGAGATGTGCTAACAATTATTGGCTGCAGCTTTGCTCTCGGATCCAGATAGCAGCTGACACAGGCAACATCAAGGGGATGTATGATGGCATCAAGCAGGCCTTAGGTCCAACACAGAAGAAATCTGCCCCTCTGAAGTCTGCTACAGGTGAGGTTATCCAGGACCGAGCACAGAAGATGGCACACTGGATGCAGCACTACTCTGAGTTATATTCCAGAGAAAATGTGGTAACTGAAGAAGCATTAAATAACATTGAGTGCCTGCCTGTCTTGGAGGAGCTTGACACTGAACCAACTTTAGAAGAACTAAATGTGGCCCTGGACTCCTTTGCGCCTGGCAAGGCACATGGGAAAGATAACATTCCTGCTGAAGTTTTGAAGTGCTGCAAAAAGAACATCTCCATTGAACTGCATCAAAACTTGGAGGGAAGGTGGAGTACCACAGGACATGAAGGATGTAAATATCATCACATTGTACAAGAACAAAGGTGACAGGAGTGACTGTAACAACTACCGTGGCATCTCTCTTCTTAGTGTTGTAGGGAAGCTGCTTGCCCATTTCGTACTGAAGAGGCCCCAGGTGCTTGCAGAGAGAGTCTATCCAGAATCACAGTGTGGATTTCGAGCCAACAGGTCCACTACTGACATGGTATTTTCCCTTAGACGGTTGCAGGAAAAATGCAGGGAACAAAGACAGCCACTTTTTGTAGCCTTCATAGATCTTACGAAGGCTTTTGACTTGGTTAGCAGGGATGACCTTTATAAAATTCTCCCCAAGATTGGATGTCCACCTCAGCTCCTTAACATCATCAGGTCCTTTCATGAAGAAAGGAGCACTGAAGGGCACTGTAGGGCACTGTAGTTTTTGATGGCTTAACTTCAGATTCCTTTGATATTCGAAGTGGAGTGAAGTAGGGCTGTGTCGTCACACCAACTTAATTCGGGATCTTTTTTGCTGTCATGCTGCAACATGCTTTTGGAACTGCAACAGAGGGTATTTACCTCCGGACCGGATCAGACGGAAAACTCTTTAATCTCTAGATTGAGAACAAAGTCTAAAGTCCAGATGAAATGCTTACGGGATTTCCTCTTCGTTGATGATGCTGCCGTCACTGCTCACTCTGCTGAAGACCTTCAATAACTTATGGACAGTTTTAGCAAAGCCTGCCAAGACTTTGGACTAACAATCAGCCTGAAAAAAACACAAGTCATGGATCAGGACGTGGATTCACCTCCCTGTATTACAATCTCTGCACAAGAACTGGAGGTCGTCCATGACTTTGTGTACCTCGGCTCAACTATCTCCGACACTCTCTCTTTAGATACTGAGCTGAATAAATGTATTGGTAAAGCGGCCACCACATTTTCTAGATTTACAAAGAGAGTATGGCTTAATAAGAAGCTGACGGAACATACAAAGATCCAGGTCTATAGAGCCTGCATCCTGAGCACACTCTTGTACTGCAGTGAGTCTTGGACCCTATACACACAGCAGGACAGAAAGTTGAACACCTTTCCTATGTGCTGTCTCCGACGAATTCTTGGCATCACCTGGCAGGACAAAGTTCCAAATAGTGCAGCCTTGGAACGTGCTGGAATTTCTAGCATGTATACATTATTGAAACAGTGACATCTACGCTGGCTGGGGCATGTCGTGAGAATGGCTGATGGTCAGATTCCGACAGAGCTCCTGTATGGAGAATTAGTTCAGGGAAAGCGCCTCAGAGGGAGACCACAGCTGCGATATAAGGATATCTGCAAGAGGGACCTAAAGGCCCTGGGAATGGACAATAACAACTGGGAAACCTTGACCTCCAATCATTCAGCTTGGAGGCTAAAGACGCAGCATGGCCTTCTCCAATTCGAAGAGACACTTGTTCGGCAGGCTGAAGCTAAGAGGCAGTCCCGGAATCAGCAAAATCTGGGGGCTGGCAGGGGACAGAATGTATCAGCCTTCAGTTTGGAAGGGATTGCCATTCTCGAATTGGCCTTTTTAGTCACACTAAAAGCTGTTTTAGGACCTCTTTCCAGAGCAAAATATCATAGTCTCTTGAGACTGAAGGATGCCAATGACATGATGTGTTCACAGGGACTTATTTTTAGGTATGATTTCTCATATCTTGGGGTCCTTGGTGCTCTCTGAACTTGGTTATTATTGATAAAGTTGTGTGGATAGCCATTTGTTGGAAGATGTTTTATAGATGATCTGTTTCCTTTTTCTGATGTTCAAGGTTGCTGATGAGGATATCCAGGAAGAGTAGTGTGTTGTTTTCTTCTTCCCTAGTACATTTTACTCCTTTGAAGATATTGTTGATGGTTTTGGGTGTGTTCTTTAGCTGGTCTTTTTTTATTATGACAAAGGTGTTATCAGATCCATAGTTTGGGTTGCATGCAAGGAATTGCTATAGATTCCAGGAATTTTTTCACAGTCTCTGCTGTTAATCCTCAGATCCACTGTGAACTACAAATATTCTTTTCTATTGGTACCTTTTCATATCTATTGAGGAATTTGAACTTTGCAATTAAGTACAGATTGATCAGAATAATTTTCTAGGTTAATGTGCAGACTGGAATATGAGTAGTTTTGAATTTATATATGTATATAAAATATAAATTGTTGCAAATGGTTATTGAAAAAAATTGAAAAGATATTTTTCAAGGAAATATGATTAGAAGATACATCAAAACAGAAAATATGCAAGAAAGTGTAAAATTGCAAATGGCTGTATAAACAAGATAGACAAGACTTACAAACTACACAGTTTTAGATGAAATAGCAAGCACAAAATATTAATTTGTTCATCACTAAGGATGAAAAGAATGGTTATTTTTAGGCTAGCCCTAAGAAAAAAGTAAAGAAACAAAATCTATTAGCAAATTTAACTTAGTTCTCAGAATGCTGTGGCCTGAACGTCTACTCTTTCCAATGTCAAAAGACATGAGACAAAATTAACCCATTAACAAAGTACTCACAAATTATCTGATTATATGTACAGTTGGATGTTTAGCTAATCAGACATTTCAATGTGCTACCAATGAAAATCATAACATGGACATTTATTTATAATCAGATGCATACCGGAAATACACAGAAATATAGATCTTGTTTACCACATGTGAAAGTATGCTAAAAGTATGTTCATCTTTGAAAAGGGAGACATTTTCTTCATTGATTGCTCCATTTTAGCAGAAGCCTGATAAATTTTCCCATGCTTCCAAAATATATTTCCAGGAAAAAAATACTTAAAATGTATAGTATAATAGTAAGAAGCCATGCCTCATCTCCTACAAATGTATAAAAATGCACCTGATAGAAAACTGTGTTCCACAATGCTAAGGTCTCTAAACATGTATAGGAAGACCATGCATCAGTTCATATAAGTGGGTGAAAATAATAAAATGTTATTTGAATTCAAGCTGAAAAAAAGAATTAAATGATCTGTAAGAAGAAAGCAAAAGCTACATTTACATAAACCATTATGTGAAGCTTCTAAAAACCCAATTTTCACTTTATTTTATTGTGGGGAGATGCTTGTCAGTGAGCAATTATTATATAAAATACCCCCTCCAAAAAAATCAATTCTGGATTTACCATAAGAGAAACACTAAAATAGTACGGTCTCTCTTTTCAGTGGAGCTTACTTTTTTTTTTTTTTTTTTGAAAGGACTGGGTTTTTTAAGGCATCTGAGAAGTGAGTTTATAACCCATACAAAGCAATTCTGTTCAGCTCACTGGATTAAAACAGATTCTGTTTTGGTTAAAACAGAAACCAAATGGATATTTTGCTGGATTATACTGCTGCATTTGGACATTGGAAAATTATACAATTATTCCAAAACTGTATCATTCTTTTAGTGAATTATATTTCCTGTTCTTTTCTCAAGCCAATTTTATAATTAAGGTGCATCAACAACTGAAATACGTTTACTCATTTATTTGGAATTAAACACTATTGGATTCATTGGCATTTGTTTATGAATTTTCAGTACCTTGTGACCATTTATGTAAGTGTTGATTGCATTTTTAAAAATTTGTTAGCTGCAATACAAGCAGTCCTCCATTAATAATCGTCATTGGGTGTGGAATTACCATTGCTAAATGTCATAAAGTGCAATATCACATGGCAGCATCACTTAGTGGTAGAAATCCTGGCACTCCCCAGCTGGTTGTTAAGGAAGTCCTTGATGGTTCGTATGCAGTCTGGAAGGCAGGTAGATGTCTGCTGCTGGGTAGAAGAGGTGCACAGGTTGCCAGTGAGATGCAGCACAGGCATGGTGAGGATTGCTGCAGGTTGAGGGAAATGTGAGCAATTTACTGGAATAACCTTGAGCTTTCCTTCTAGCTTCCCCATTGACTTTCCATTTGGGAAACCAGAGAGAAAGGTTGCAATTAAAGTATACATGACTGTGTGACGCTATAACTGGCATAAGCATAAGCTGGTTACCAAGTGCCCAGATCATAATCATGTGATTGTGGGGGTGCTGAGATGGCCAAAACTTTGAGAACTGATCTTATGTGCTCCTGGGTTTAGCACCATCATACCTTTGAAGAGTTGCTGAATGAGTGGTCGTTAAACAAGGACTATTTATAGTTCTTAGAATAAAAGGTACTCACCATTTAATTTGGGGCTTGGTGTTCCCAAAGCAGGTCTAGGATCTTTCACCAAAATTTTGGAACCAGCTGTTGATAAAAGTAAGAATAAGTAGATTGCTTAAATTCAGGGCATTCATAACAACATTAAATAACATTGTGACACAGAACCTTTTAACATTTATTGAACACAGTATTGGCTAAGATACTCAAAAGACAAAAATCGCTGCAACTAATGCCACAAAGATATTTGAAGTTTCTTTGTACTGCATATGAAAAGAATTCAAATTAACAGAATGTACTATAATGACCCTACAAAAGTGATAACACAATTCTTTTGATCATTATGAATCATGATTACATTAGTTGAGTATGAAATCAAAATTTGATTTTTAAAGTGCTGCATCTGCATTGCTCTTTCTAAGTATCACAATTCTTTTGCAGCTATTCTGTGTATTATTCCCTTTGAGAGCTGTTTCAGATTCTCTTTGGCAGAGAGACTTTGAACTTGAAGCATCAACTGCTTTTAATCAGGTTTTTTTTTTTATTATTTGTAAATCAAAACAATCGTTCAGGTGAAATGGGCAGTGTAGAGATGCGCTAAATAAATAAAAATGAATTATACAACTGTCAGTCTCACGAGGCAAACCAACTAGGAAACACAGAACCTAATTTGACTGTACAGTAAGGCATAGATATTTTGCAAGTCTGAATGAATATTTCTTCCCCTTTCTTACACAGCTCAAAAAACTGTGGGCTAATTCAATTCACTTTTTATCTGTCCATTCCTTTGGTTGCAGGAATGGATTCCCAAATACCATCATAACAACCCTAATATGTTCTTCAGATGATTTGCTAAAATGCGTGAAGCTAAACTGAATGCACATTAAGTCTACCTGTAGTGGAAAGAATCAATCCTATGAACTCGGTATGGAATTCTGGGCTGCTTCTATGATTATAGTTAGTTGGAAACAGATTTACAGATTTGTTCAAATTGTAAACTGCATGTATCTGTAACTGCTATTTCACAGAAATAATGTTTTTGCATAATACCCACAGTGTGATTGTTTTTCCAACAATAGAGACACTTTATTTTGGTCTGTGATGACTAAGGGGTAGATGGGGAAGAAAATCTGATTAAAGCTTTTATTTATTTATTTATTTTGCTCTTAAGAAGACAGCATATTAGGACCAAAGAATCACACAGATTTGAACCTTCAAGATTAGATGGTGAACTTTCTATTGGGTCCCAATCTGGAAGAAATATTTAGATTAGATATACCTCCATGCGGAGGAGGGGGAAGAAAGGAGGGGGGGAGGAGGAGGAGGAGGAAGAGGAGGAGGAGGTGGAGGAGGGGGAGGGGAAGGGGAAAGGGAAAGAGAAAAAGAACTACTGCCAGGAAGGAAGGCAGTAGGTAGGCCCAAGTGTTTAATATAGTTCCACTCAAATATTCATTTAAAGATTTAACACATGTTCCCAACGCTTCAACAAACCTATAAGAAATATTAACATTAATGTTAATGCATAATAAATTAGTCTTTGCTTCTGAGAATCAGATCAGATTATTGTGACCATGTGTGGAATGTTCATCTATATTCATATAGATTTCTACAGATTTCAGAAAAGAAATGGATATATGATATATTTTTAAAAATCCTTCACAGTTTAAAGGCTGACCAAACAGCTGTCACATACATCCTTGCTATGTTTTGGATGGTGGTGAGAAACATAAAGGTTTTTTTTTTATTATTATTATTCTTTTATATCACCAGCGAAGTCACTTTTCTGTGAAATCTATTCATCAGCAAGAAAAGAAGACAAAGGAACATACTGCTTTCCCCCTCCACGCTCATGACCTTTCCATTCGGAAATAACAGCCTTTTGTGGCTTTTCTGTTGTGTTGGAAATCTGGAGCAGATTCATATTCCTTTGTACTAATGTATGAAGAAAAAAATAGCACCCATGGAGTTTGTCTTCACAACTTCCTCCCAAGTGTCGGTAGGCATAACTGAACTGATATTCTGCAAACCAGAATTAAACACACCAAACAACCCGGGCAGTTGGAAAGGATAATAAAATAATATTAAAAAGATGACAAGAAAAGAAAATGACAAAACTCTCATGAGTGAGGTATTCAATCTTCCCTATTTCTATGCCAATGTTCTCCCTGTGCCAACTAAGAAAGCTCAGACTACCCAAGGAGCTCCTGATACAGTTCTACAAAGAAATTATTGAGTCTGTCATTTGTACCTCTAGAACTGTCTCATTTGACACAGCAACCAAACAAGACGGATACAGACTACAAATAATTAACGTAGAGTTAGGACTGCAGAAAACAATTGCAACCAGCCTCTATACTGCATGAGTCGCTAAGAGAGCTGTGAAAATATCTACAGACCCCTTATATCCTGGACATAAACTGGTTCAACTTCTTCCTTCAAGATGACACCATAGGGCCATGATGGTGAACCTATGGCACATGTGCCCAAAGTGTCACGCGGTACCATGTTGCCTGGCACATGCGGCAGTGCCTGTTCCTCTTCTGGGTTTCTGGCGCGCATGCACCTGTGATGATCAGCTGGCCTATTTGCACGTGGCAGTGCAGGAAACTGGAAGAGCTGGTCTTCTGTTTTCCTGCGTAAGCATGCGCGCTGGTCAGCTGATCATCGCACGTGCATGTGTGCCAGAAACCCGGAAGAGTAGCTGGCTGAAACCGGAAGTTCAGTAACTGAAACTGGAAGTTCATTTTTGGGTATGCGCATGTGCCCTGGCCAACTCCTTTTCCAGATTGCTGCCCAGTCGTCCGTGCATACGTGTGCTCCCTTTTCGGCACTCAGTGCTGAAAAGGTTCGTCATCATTGCCATAGGGCATTGCATGTCAAAACAACCAGACACAAAGACATTTCCCCCCCCCCATGCTATCACTCTGCTAAACAACTAATTCCCACAATACTGTCTTATGCCCTGGGATGTCAAATCACCTAGTAGGGCTGTATTAGCTATTATCCTTTTCATCTTTTCATCTTTCCTATTACCTATTTTCTTAGCTTCTTATGACTATAACTTTCTTGTTTGTATCTCACAATTTATGTTGATTGTCTTTTATTTAGTATCCTATTATGATTTATGTCGTTTGCTTATTTAGTATCCTATGACTATCATTGAGTTTGTATCTTATGATTTATGATTATATTTTATGATTAAGATCACGAGTTATCACTTGTTGTTTGTATGTACTCTGAGATCTTATGCACTAGAGACAAATTCCTTGTGTATCCAATCACATATATAATAACATAATAAAGGATTCTATTCTATTCTATTCTATTCTATTCTATTCTATTCTATTCTATTCTATTCTATTCCATTCCATTCCATTCCATTCCATTCCATTCCATTCCATTCCATTCCATTCCATTCCTCTCCTGGTTTTAGTTGTTCATTGTTCTGAATACAGCACATTTACCAGAGTGGATAGATATTTTTATGTAAATAGAAAATAAAATAAATAAGTTCATTTACATCAGGTAGGTATCTAAAGTCTGCCTTCATTTTGGTAAAGGGTAAAATGAATTTTCCACACCCTTAATATTGGAAGAAAATGGGAATATTGGTAGAAAATAGGAATGAAAAGAAACAAAGGAATTGGCAACTCTGAAATATTAACTCTTCCAGGAAGATGTGAAATACATTACCTTCACAGAAAGGAACCTTCCCTGTCCATGTACCATCAGACCTACAGACTCTGTGTTCTGATCCTCCTGCTAGAAAGAATCCGGGTTGGCATGTATATATCAAGGTATAACCGAGGGATGGAAGATCCATTCCTGCAACATTTGTGTGAGCTGGAGATTCGGGCTGCTTACAGCTGTGAGCTAAAATAAAAATGCACAATTCATTTTATACATGACACGCAATGGCATATCCTTCAACTACAAGTAATGATCATTGCTCAAATTGCTCTAAAATGTATGAGAAGGTCTTTAATAACTCCACACTTTTATTAACTCCTCAATTTATGTCAAACCATGCCTGGGAGCGGTTAAGTACTGTGGTTGCGTTGACAGTAGAGAAAGTGGATTAGTTCCCATATGTTCTCCATATATTTGAATAGTAGAGACAATGTGGAAGATGAAGAGCATATCACTGCATTTTAACTGGAAAATCTTTGCACCAGTTTTATCATGAATTACATAGCTTGGACTATAATTGTAAATGTTTATGCTTGATAGTGCTGTACGTGTTCAAATAGAATAAATGGATAACACATCATACACATTTGCAAGATGGCAACAGGAATAATTGAAACAAGATAAGCAGAAAAACATTTTTAGCAGATTGAGCCAAGATAGACATATAACTATTTTAAACTGTGATAATATGGTTTTTAAAATAGTCCATCAAAATGCACTGTCCTGCTTGTCTCTATTTTTCATTGCATTTTAAATTGGTCTTAGTCATCTTTTTTCACCCTTTTTTGGAGGACGGGTCAGCTAATTGGGAATTTTGGAGCAAACTTTGAGATGCGAGCAGGGTGGTGAAATATGAAATGTTTTTCAGTGCTTTAAGAAAAGAGATGTTTGGGGGGGAGGTGTATGTATGTACAGGTAGTTCTTGACTGACAATCACAACTGACCCCAACATTTCCTTTAAGGAAGACAAAAACACCACAAAATCACTATTTAAGTTGGTGTTTTCTTAATATAGTTAGTCCTTTTTTATTCTTTTCCATTAAAACACATATTTTCTGTAAACTGTCTCCTCATATATAAACCTGTAAATATTTAATTTGTTTGGAGAATGGCAGCATAAATAAGATACTATTCTTATTTTTTGTTTGGATACTGATTTGAGGCATGTGAGTCTCAATTTGCATCACAATAATATTATTTTTCCATTCCGTATCTGATTCTTCTCTCTGTTCTTGACTTACCAATGCATTCGGGTTGAATCCCACTCCATGTAAGATCAGGAAGGCAGGTTCGAGTTGTAGACCCTTGAAGCAGGTAGCCTTTTCTACAGTGAAACTGCACAATATTGCCTACCTATTGAAAGATTAAGAGTAGATCAATTTGATTAGTGATCAACTCAACACAGAAAGATCGCAGACACATTCCTCTCTGCACACATACACTAATCTAGTGTGTATCCAATGTGCCTACCATTATTTGTACTCATTTCCTATGTTCATGTCCATGTTTATACTTATACCTGTTATCTCGTACATGTTTGACTAAATAAACAAAATAAATAAATAAATAAACAAATACATTAATTAAAAGATCTATGAACAACTTAGATACAAGATGAGGGAAACGAACTTTTTCTTAATCACTTGTAGATATCTGTTATTAGGATTGCATCAAACTGTTCTCCCTATTTTCATAGACATTTTGTTGTTTCTTCCTCTTTTACATAGAGTAAGAAAATTCAGTAAAAGTTTATGATAAGGATGAAAAGAAGTTGAGTCTATCATAAGAAATGCACAAAATGGCCAATGGATCATCTTCGCTATCTTAATTTTTATCCCACCATTATATTTACAATGTGCCCAGCTCATACACATTTTAAAAGCATCAACTGGTTCCTAATGGTACACGCAAACACACAACAGTTATGAACTGGATCATGGCAATGACTATGATAAAGGGTCAGTAGCTCCTTTCATACAATAAGTCACTTTATATTGGTGATGCGTCATTCATGTCACTGATGTCATTGCCAAGAAGACAAAACTTCTCTCACAGATACAAATTGACTTCTTCAGGCAGCTGAGAATTATAAATACCACCTCCATTATACAATTAAATTTTGTCCTTGTGTTTTTTGATTTTATGTAATTTTAATTTTTGTTTATTAATTACAGTTTACTACTTTTATTGCACACTGGGTGAATCCATTTTATGTTACAACCTATGAGTTGCAACAATAAAATGCAACTAAATTAAAATGAACTCTTGAGGCATTTGGACTTAATGATCAACTAGGGCTACACATGAATGAATTCCATGCAATAAATTTACAGCAATGGTAATTTCTATATTATTTGAGTTCTTCAAACTTATTTTTATTCACAATGCACTTTTTATAGCTACACAAACTCATTTCCCTGTGCTATCAATATTATTCTTTTTGCGAACATTAAATTCACTAGAAAAGGGTGGCTTTCAATGTTCCCCTCATCTCCATACCGAGGTTCATATAAAGCATGATAAAACTGACTCAGAGGCTACTACAAATATAATGGATCTATTTTTATTTCTAAATTCAGATTGTGCCTAGGAACCTTTCAGAATTAATACATACATAAATGCTGAATTGACATTCATGTGAACATGCCACAAAGGAAACTACAAAGGAGTAGAGTTTAATCCTTTACATGTGTGACAGATTCTCTAAATAAATTTCTATTATTTCAGATACATTCTGTGCTATCCAATAATGGTTCTATAAACAGTTTTCATGTGTTAGCAGCAACATTTCTACACATGTATCTCAAATCTTAGAATTCATTTCAGGAAAACAATCTCCTTCTAAAGCTTGCAGGTGAAGTTGGCAAAAGCCCTTTATTTTGCCTTTACAAAATGAACGCAGCTGTTTTGGAAAGGTTTATAATATAACAAAGCAGTAGGCATGTTGGAGAAGACATGAAATGTAATGGTTGCAATTTGGTACCATCTTATTTATTTCTCACAGATCAGATTGAAAAACAGAACTAGTAACCTAGCATGGTTATAGATAAAAATAGTAATTTTACTAGTATTAACTATAGTACAACAACCTTCAAAATTTGATCAGAGATTTTGCCCCCTTCTTCTCGTCCTGAGAGATTCTCATCTTTAAAATTATAATACTGCTTCATTTTATGCTTATGCAAGAAGAAAACTCTGACAGGTAGTAGAGAAACCATATATTTTGTTCAGGGCAATGCTTCTCATTTTCTTATTGCCCTCCTCAAGTTGCAAATGTGACCTTTTATTCAGGAATAATGTCAGTGCTGCCTTTAGGGTAAAACTTCTACTGTGGTGAAATGGAGCAAGCACATGGACATGCTGTTAAAATGTTGATTGGAAAACAAATCTCATTAAAGATAATCAAAGACTGAATGTAAAAGGATAGCACTTTTTAAAGCCAATAAAGCTAGGATGATGTTTATGAATTTAATTCTGGGTGAGGAAATAACGTCAAATAATTCATTTCATTTAAAATGAAAAATCCAGGTGATAGTGATTTCCATTGAATAAATTTTCCTCCTTTGTACTTCAACTTTTTTCTCAGTTACATAATTTAATTTATGTAGTTTAACATTACATATATGTGTATACACACACACACACACACACAAACACACACATAGGCACAATGTGACCTCAGTGCCTTCCGTCGTGCCCTTAAAATCCATTTTTTCAAGCAAGCTGGGCTGGCTTAAGAAGAAATTTTTAAATGTTTTTAAATGTTTTAAATGTTTTAATTGGTAGTGAGTTTTAATTGGGCCAAATTTATATATCTTTTAATTGTTTTTTAATATTTGTCCTGCATGTTTTTTAATTCTGGCTGTACACCACCCTGAGTCCTCAGGGAGAAGGGCGGTATAGAAATTCAATAATAATAATAATAATAATAATAATAATAATAATAATAATAATGATTATGATGATGATGATGATGATGATGATGATGATGATTATAATAATGTGTGTCTCTCTGTGTGTTAAATTTTACTAAGGTACTTGGAATTTGTGTATGCTAAGAATTCAACCTTTAACTAAACTTTATTAAAATAAATAGTAAATATACCATGTTTTCCCCAAAATAAGACCCTGTCTTATATTTTGTTGAACCCCAAAATTAGTGCTTAGCCTTATTTTCGAGGAGGTCTTATTATTTTGGGGGGTGCGTGGAGCAAGACGGGGCTCCTCTTGCCATCTTACCTGATTTCCAGCTCTGTCTCCCTAACCCTAACCAGAAGAAATAGTGGGGCCTGGCTGCTCATGCATTTAAATATTTTTGGGTAGGGCTTATTTTCAGGAGGGGGCTTATTTTAGCGCATGTACTCGATTGGGTTCATTATCAGGGGATGTCTTATTTTAGGGGAAACAGGGTACAACTTTAGTCTAAGTGGTTTTCAGTGATGATATTAATGGTAATGACTATCCTGTTTCCCCTAAAATAAGACATCCCCTGATAATAAGCCCAATTGGGCTTTTGAGCTCATGTGATAAAATAAGCCTCCCCCCGAAAATAAGCCCTCCCTGAAAATATTTAAACGCAGAGCTGGAAATCAGGTAAGATGGCAAGAGGAGCCCCATTTTGCTTCTTGTGCCCCAAAATAATGAGACCTCCCCAAAAATAAGGCCAAGTGCTTATTTTGGGGTTCAAAAAATATAAGACAGGGTCTTATTTTCGGGGAAACATGGCATTTGGATATAGAAAGGATACAATCAAATTCAATAGTTACTGAAGCTTGAGTTATACTCAAGAGCAGGGCTGTCAAACTCCCAGCACGAGGGCCAGATGCATCACGTGTTGGCCATGCCCATGTTTAGTAAAGGGGAAAAAAGTCCTGATACATCATGTGATGCTGCTGTGATGCTGCGAGTTTGACACCCCTGGTCAAGAGAGATAAGGAAGTTATCTCTCTTCCTTATTCAATAAAAGTTAGGACTCCTACCTGGTAACCAAAGGTGTTGTTTTGCGATCCATGATGAGGAACCCCAGGGTTTTCACAGGCTGTCCTAGTAGGTTCTTTGTCAAAAAAAAAAAAAAAAAAAAAGGTTGTGAAATAAAATATTTTTTAAAAAATGTATGTCCATTTATACCCAAATGCTTCCAAACAGTTTTCAGAAACGTCATCCTTTCAATGACTTTGAATATTGAAACTCATATTTCATAAAGTATTAATGCAAGGTTTACAATGCTACTTTGCAAAAAAAAAAAAAGTGAACCCAATTGCTTTACCCTTTGATCATTGTGTCCTTATCTTTCATACCTTATGCTTATTTATTGGTTCTGAAAATTGTCCCAGTAAAGCTATCCAATACTAAAGAGACAACACTGTCTCTCCATAGTTTTCTGTCCAGGCAAACCATTCTTATTTTTAACAAGATATTGTTAAAATATTGATTTTATAAATATTATATTTATAAATTATAAAATGTTGATTTTATAAATATTGATTCATACATTAAAAAAAAAAAGAACCTTTTCCTTGGTAAGATTGCAATTTTGCACTGAAGATGCAATTATACATGCCGTTATAAGTTATGGAAGAGCAGGCTGCTTAGAAAAAATGCAGGCACCTGTGCTCCTATCTAGGCCTTGTCCCCAGTGTTAGCAAGGCAGAATTGCCAATAATGCTTCAACCTTGAAACAGGTGTGAGAAGAGACGTGTTTTTGGAAGCTCTGCAACCACCAGCAAACAGAATAAAGCAGCCATTTTTTTTAAAGAGGGAGATGTTTTTCTTTCAAAAAAAGTAAATAGTCCAAACAAGAAAAGGCACAGCAAAAATGGAAGTATGTTAAGGAAAAGTTAAAATATGAAAGTATAATGTAGAAAGTATGAGCCACTGTGATGCAGTGGTTAGAGTGCAGCACTGCAGGCTACTTCTGCTGCCTGCCGGCTGCCTGCAATTTGGCAGTTGAAATCTCACCAGGCTCAAGGTTGACTCAGCCTTCCATCCTTCCGAGGTGAGTAAAATGTGGACCCAAACTGTTGGGGGCAATATGCTGATTCTCTAAACCGCTTAGAGAAAGCTGTAAAGTACTGTAAAGTGGTATATAAGTCTAAGTGCTATTGCTATTCTACATGCTGCCAAGTACCAGAGAAGAAAAAAAGATACAAGAGATTTCAGAGATAGGAATTAAGGCAGAATAGTGTTTTAAGAAGGAAACACTGTTATATAATAGCATTACTGCACAGTGCAATATTGAATAGTAATTGAATAGTAAGGGAGTATACTAAGGCAATAGAAAGCACTCACACATGGACTTCGAAGTTTGATAGTTAACCTTTGAACCTTGAGGTTTTTTTAAAAAAAATAAAGTATATCCCAAACTCTAGAAACCAGAGTTCCACCATACCTATACAACGGGGAGATGATCCACTCCATGTACCATCTGCTTGACATATTCGAGTGCTGGAACCAACCAACACAAATGGAAGATTACAACTGAAGGAGACTTCTGACTGATAAATAAAGCTTTTGCCTTCCCTTTTGCCTTGAGCGGGTACTCCTGGATCACCACAAAATTTCGCTGTAGAAAAAAAAAATGTGGAAAATATACTGACATTTCTTTTTAGAGGGATAGACTTGTATGTGATGAAAAACAGAAAGCTTGAAGCCTTTTATAATCATAAAAAATTCTGATCTAAAATAGAAGTGGAACTGCAGTATGTACACATGTACCTACAGAAGGTATGAATGTAAATCATATTCTTAAGACAGAATGGTCTAAATCTTACTTGTCTTTTTCTGTGTAAATGTCAAAAGTTAATATGCAGAAGATCAAAAAAAAATTTCGTCCATTGTCAACTGTGTTAACCAGGATGGAGAATTTCAAGAATATATTTAAAACATTTCTTAAACAAATATCACATAGATTTTTTTTTTTATTTTTTTTTTTGCTATTTGATTATTGCTTTAATAAGAGAATATTTGCAGGAATTACATCGTGCATTGATATTCTCCAGCCTTTTCCTAGCCACTTTCTATTACTGGATGTTTAGCAATTCTGTCTGAGTATGTAACCATAGAAACTAGACATCATGGCAATTCACATCAGTCTTCCCCCATCCCTCACCCCTGCCCCAGACCCAGGAAACTGTGCTGCTAAAATGCTACTTTTGTAGTAGAGAATAAGTCATGGGGTCTTCCTTGTCAGCAGTACTTACACCTTGCTATTTCTGACAACATCCTAACTGTAAGTACAAAAGAAAATTAATCAGGCATCTGTTTTATGTCACTTAACATTAACTGGGAAGATGGTATTGGATTTGACCAGAGCAACTGAGCAATGAGAAAGAATTATTCTGCTCAGAGAATGATAAAACTGAGAAGGTAGGCCTGAAACTTGGCTGAAGACATAGTCCAGTTCAGGCATATTAGTCCTGATATTGCAGTAATGTAAAATAGTAACATTTGATTAGAATATCTCAGGATAAATTACATTTATTTGTTTTATTAATATGTCCTTTCCCAAAGAATACCTCTACAAATCTCACTGCAGTAAAAGAACATTAAAAACAAGTAACAGTAAGTAATGTTGAACCTTTTATATATAAGTAAGAGCAAAATTTGGCCTATTCATTTATTTAATGCATTGATTTACATAGCCACCTGTTCCAGTGTTCATTTATATGATGGTGATCGAAGTGGCTTTATTTCACTTGCAGAAACTGTCACCTGTAGGAAGCATCTATGAATATGCTAGTTAAGACCTTTTCCAATAAAACTCAATATGAGTTTCATCTGAAATGTGCCTGACAATCTTGTTCATGGTTTTGATATGCACCACTAATCAATTCTATCTATCTCTTTAAATGTGTTCCCTTGTAAAATCATTGATACATAGTAGATTAAAAGGGAAATATAAAATATCCTATGAAAATGTCCAATGCTCTGTTTTCACGGTGGCAAATCAACTGACAATGGGAAGTGGCATTCTCAATGAATATGGCATGAATGAAATTGAGAACGAGACTCAAGAGTATTTTAGGAGTATCCTAAGGCCCATATGGTATTGTGGTTAAGATATTGGCTTTGGGTTTGACAAGCCACAGAGCATTGATGATGACTTTGAGCCCCTTGCTATTTCTCTCAGCCCATCCTATTTCATAGAGTTCTTCTAATGGAGTCATAGTCTGTGGAGACCAGTATCTACATCATTTCAAGATCCCCCTAAAAAAGACAGCCTATTAATAATTAGATTGCAGTAGAATAACTCTATTCTAAAATATTCTTGTTTCTATGTGACTCTAATGGCAGATTTTATAGTTGCAATTTAAAATCTTCCTACTTGTGACCAAGACCAAAATAATGATTTGGGTTGATAACTGGAGAGGGGGAGAGGACGATACAACGGCATATGCCTTCAATTGAAAGAGCCTTGACAGTACAGTGGTTTAGTGCACCCTGTCATTAACACAGCTGCCTGCAATTTCTGCTGGTTCGAATCTCTCCAAGGCTCAAGGTTGACTCAGCCTTCCATCCTTTCTAATGGATGAAATGAGGACCCAGTTTGTGGGGGCAATAAGCTGACTTTGTATAAAATATACAAAAGAATGAAGGCTATTGCTTAACGCATTGTAAGCCGCCCTGAGTCTCCGGAGAAGGGCGGCATATAAATCAATTTTTTTTAAAAAAATTGTGAATTGCATAAATATTTTTCTCTCTCAACTTTTTCTATTTCATACTTGCTCCCATATACCAGATGTTATAGCAAACAAAGACATGTTTTGGAGAGAAATTGCAGTACATGATGGGATGAGGAATTCTTTGACCACTGAAACATATTAATTAATAATTATTATTAACAAAAGAAATCAAAGGTAGTACTGATAATAATAGTGGCCTTGGATGCAGTCCCAAAGCAACTGGAACACCGCTTGAACATTAAGCATTGGCAAATTTGCCATCAGTCAATCGCAAAAGGCAGTTTTACATGTAGCTATTTACATTCTGTGACGATGCCTCTAACACCATAAAGTATCCACATCTGCCTATCCCAGGTCCTTGGGAAGGACTCAATTGTAGATAAAAATGTCAAATCCAGTCTGAACATCTGGCTGACTGCGTCAAACCATTTATATGTCATCTGACTCCCAGTGAGTCTCATAAGTTTACAAACTGTTAATAACATTTAAAAGAAAAGAACAAAAGAACACAAAAAAAGATCAGAGATAAAAAAAAACCAAACCTAGGCAGGACATAGGAAAAGAAAAGAAAAAGAAAAGAAAAAGAAAAAGGGAGATTCAACCATGATAGGCCAACTCAGGATACTTAGATGTATTAGTAGATTGGGGCTGTTGGAATCTCGGGCAAAACTACAGAGAAGTTGATTTCCAGGATCTATCATGATTCCGGAAGCCAACTTTTCTATAGTCCTGTCTGAGATTCCAACAGACCCAACCTACTGTTGTTTAGTTGAAGGAACCCTCAAATAATAAGGCCTATGCTATGAAGAGCTTTATAGGTAATGACCAGTATTTTGAATTGCACCTGGAAGCACACTGGAAACCAATACAGATCATGAAGCAGAGGTGTTACATGGGCACACTGAGGCAGGGCCACCATTGCCTGTGTCACTGCATTCTGAACCAATTGAAGCTTCCATGCTGTCTTCAAGGGCAGCCCCATATACAGCGCATTGCAGTAGTCAAGCCATTAGGTGATCAAGCCATGAGTGATTAGCAAAGTCCTCATGTTACTCTTGTAGTCTTTCGTAATGGGCATGTTTGTGAAAATACAGACTGAAAAAGCTTTATATTTGATCAAGTGTAAGAGAAATGTTTTGGACAGCTTGAGAAATGAATTCAGAGGTCATGTTTTCTGCTTCCTCCATCTTATAGTTTTCATACTTCAATGTTCTCCCCTTCCTTTATCTGGTCAAACAGAGCTTTTCCTTCTGCTCTGTTAATTAATGATATCATGGCTTCTTCTGTTATTCAGCCACCATAAGCACATTTTGCTTGCAATTCCAGCTATAAAAAATCAACTAGGTAGAATGAAATATGACCTCCACTCACTAACATATTGTATAAACACTTATTATTTTAATAACTAAAACACGAAAGAGCTTTAAACCCTGAAAAGATCTAATCTTCTTGCCATCACAAATCATATCAAACAGGAAGATTTTGTAGCGATTGAAAAAGATTACAAGACTTAAGAAAATGATCAAGATTTGCGAATCTGTTGAGTAAAATAAATGGGTTTTAATCCATTAAACAAAATGCAGCATTTCTACATTAAATAGTATCACTGAAATTTTGAATGTAAAATATTACAGTTTTATTCAATTTTTATTTGTGAAGGTTTTTTTTCTTTACTGTGAAACGAAAAGCACCATTCCTCTTCTCTTTGATAATCCAGCCCATTTAATTTATTCTGTTAAAAATTTAATACTTTTTTTCCAACAGCAAAAAGAAAGAAATATTCACAAAATGTTCTGTAAAAAGTGAGCATACATTTGTTATTGTAATGAAATCTGCAGCTATGCAAAATCCATCAGTGTCACCAATTTTATGCTAATAAAACCTTCTGCATAAATCGGTAATTTAATATAATACTGGAACAGAAGTCCAATTGTCAGAGAAACAGGCTGGAGTTTCTTCGGTATTCCTGACAGACTTAGCCATTACAAATGTCAGCCACCATAAAAATGTCCAGGTTTTTGCCTGGTTAAAACATCCATGTTTAGACTAGCCCTTGTTGACATTTTTGTCAAGTTTGACAAACTTGCTTTAGGTATTTCAAATATTGTATGAGGCAAAGTATTCCTTCCTCTACAATTTCACAAACAACTAGGGATATGAGTGATGGTTCATGATCCTGAGAATGCTACAAAGGTTGTAAGTGTGAAAAATGGTCATAAGTCTCTTTTTTCAGTGCCGTTGTAACTTAGAATGGTCACTAAATGAAGTGTTATAAGTCAAGGACTACCTGCAATTTCAAATATGATGCCGTGTTGAACATTCAGGAAAATAGGGGTGCGACAGCATATCAAGGAAATGTTTCAGTAGTTAACAGCAGTCACTACAAAATTCACCTTTTGATTATATTATCCATGAAAATTGGGGCTTTCCCTCCATACTTCCTCATTTAATAATAATAACAATAATAACAATAATAACAATAATAACAATAATAACAACAATTATTATTATTATTATTATTATTATTATTATTATTATTATTATTATTATTATTATTTTATTTCTATACCGCCCTTCTCCCGAAGGACTCAGGGTGGTGTACAGCCTATTTAAAAACACAAGACAAACATCAATTTAAAATTTAAAATTATTAAATAAATTTGGCTCCATTTAAAACCCCAGAAATTTAAAATACCCCAATTTAAAATTATCATGTCGATAGTCCAGCCTGGCGGAACAACAGGGTCTTCAGTGCACAGAGAATTTCACTGCAATCTATCATCACCTTTCTCATCCTGGCTATGACTATAATTAAACCTCCCTAAAGCATCACTGATTGATTAATTAATGCTAATAAGACTTCTGTTTTTCATTAGTTTTTTTGCTTATCAGCTTTAAAACAGACAAGAGTCAATTTGGTGTAATGGTCAAGACACAAGGCTAAATATTAGGATACCATGAATTTTAGTTCTTGCCTTAGGCATGAAACCAGCTGAATAACTTTGAGCCAGCCATTCTCCCTTAATCCTGGGAATAAGGCAATGGCAAGCCAGTGCAAAATCTTGCCAAGAAAACTGCAGGCTCTTCTCCAAGTAATTGCCAGAAGTCAATACACACTTGAAGGAATAAAATAAACAAAGAAACAACCAGAACTGGTTAGTTGTCGCTGCAGCTGACAACTGACTGATTAAACTGTTTAATTGGAGTTAAGATCTTTAAGGAAAGAAGGACCACAAAGCAAAGATGAAAGAGCTCACAAGCACCTGTGTGGTCACTGCAATTTGTCCCTTGTTTTGTAATGGATATTAAAGGACATTGCAGTTTTGTTGGATTTGTGTATGTGGTAAAGATAAATGGGGGTTTTATTTCACTTTTTGTAGCAGACTTTGAGGAGCAATGCTCATCTCCATTTCTTTATGCCAATGCTGTCCACAGTAATTTCTATGATCATGTGGCCAGTATTATATCATGCCACAGCAGGGTGTCCAGTGAAATTTGACGTACTGTTACCTTCCCACCAAAGTGGTACCTATTTATCTACTTGCATATAGCATGCTTTTGAATATTAGGTTGGCAGGAGATGAGGCAAATGATGGGATCGCACTTTGTCGCACAATGTAGGATTCAAACTACCCAGTGCATCGACCTTCTGTGGCATCTTTTAAGCCACTGAGCCACAGTGCCTCATTGAGTGTGCAGAGGAAACATTATAGCTATTTCTTACCTAAATTGATAGTTTTTCTTTTGTTATGTTTTTCTTTTAAGATTGCATGGAAACAACTATCAGCCTGGAATGCAAATATTAAAAAAATAAATACTCACGTAAGCACTGTGGGACTTCACCACTCCATGTTCCGTTCCCAACACAAGTCAAAACAGCAGGAAATGATAATTCATAGCCAGGTGAGCAGACATAACTAATGCTAAATCCCCAATCAAAATTTATTCCTTCCTGTTTTCCATTAGAAATCTGGGGTGGAGTTGGACAGGTAACAGCTGTAACAACATTTAGAGTCATTAGCATAGCAGCTGCAGCAAATGTCTCCTGTGTCTATACTGACTACGATAACCATATGTGCTAATTCAACTTTTTTTTTTTTTAAAAAAAAGGGTTGCTGTATTGTTTATAGATTTTTTTTTTTTTTTGCTTTACTGTGCAAATCATTTAAGTATTGTTTATTTTCACAGCCTTTTGCCATTTCGATGGGCACTTTGACTGACAATTATGCAGTCACATATATGAGAAAAAAGAAAGTTGGGAAGGACTGTTTCTTTAGTTCTTTATTTTGAGATACATAACCCAGTAGTTAAAAAAACAAATCATCACAATTTGGATACTAAGACAGGTTAAGATATAAAAAGTTAATAGAAATGCATTTCCTATTTTATAATCTCATCTGAAATGGCATATCCTCATGTCACTCCACAGAACACTATTTGAATTATGAAGGACATGCTATAGATATTGGGAGGGATGCAATTTGATATAATTCTGACTGTTCAAGAAATAAGATTGAAGGAACCATTCTAAATCTGGTTTCTACCTATATGTATTTACTTGTTATTCTGTTCCATCAGTGCATGATTTTCATCAGGGAATCATTTTGAAGCCAAATCAAGTCCACATCCAGCATTATCATATTCAACAGTTGTAATACAGTGGTATCTCAGTACTCATCCTTAATTGGTTCCGGGAGGCACGTGAGTACTAAAATGGATGAGTATCAAACAAATCATGTACCTTACCACTTGCCTCTTTGTTTCAGCTGGGAAGGATTTTTTAATCTGTCCCTTTTCCTATGTGAGAGATCTTCCCAGCATGGCCGACTTCCTGTCCGCCTTCTGCAGCTGTCCCCCACTTCCTTTTGTAGCGACCTTCCCAGCATGGCCGACTTTTTGTCCACCCTCTGTGGCTGACCCCCACTTCCTTTTGCACAACGTCAAGTACCAAACTAAGATGAATAGCAGGACAACATTTTTCAATCAAATTGCATCAAATACTAAATTTGATGAGTTTTGAACCAGTTGAGTACTGAGGTACTTCTGTAAACACATATCTCTCTATAATGGTGTGTTGGAATCACCTTGGAAAACCCAGGGAAAAGGCACAGCCAGGGGACTGGTTGGATGAGAGGCAGTTTAGCCACAGAAAGAATGTAGATGGAAGGAGAAATGCACTTTGAAACTTACCAAATTCTGTTAACGTAATCTTAGAATAAAGTGGAATTCGTTCACCTGGTTGTGCGTTCTGCCTGGACAACTTTACAAGGCCAACATCAACCATGCATGTCTTAAACTACATTTCATCCCCATGACCTTTACAGCCCAAGAAATTAGGGAGAGTCCCTTATGAGACATTTACCATAGTCACATGGCAGCTAAACTGCCTCTTAACTAACTGCTCACCTAGTTGTGGCTCTTCCTTTGCCTTCCAAGGTCATTTGCTAATACCATTACCTTCTCTCTCTCTCTCCCCTCCCTCCCCCTCTCTGTTTTTGTACCTGTCTCCATCCACCCATCCATCCACCTATCCATCCATCCATCCATCCACCCATCCACCCCTCCATCTATTCAGATTCAAAGCAGTACCTTTACAAGTTGCCAGCATTCCACTCCATGTGGCATTACTAGTACAAGTACGAATTTTGGAACTGTTGGCTTCCATTGTGTACCCAGGTTGACACATAAAAGTAACATTTTGTCCAACTACATAATCATCCCCATATCTCAATCCATTGGCTGGTATTCCTGGATCTCCACAACTGATTACTATGAAGGGGGAAAAAATGAAGATGTAATTATATGACAAAGGGTGTTTCCATTTTAGAAGGTGAACAATCTAGGATAATTGTATAATGTGATATCTATGGCAACTTCCTTTATATAGCAGCTTTTATAAGCAAGCTGAGTTTGTCACATTAGGTGGCATTTGTTACTAATTACAGAACCCATTTGTTAAGGAATTAAGACTCCAGGTTTCATTTCCACTTTTTTAACTTTGTGAAGCTTGAATTAAGACAAGATAGTCTTATAATAAAATGGCAGCATTCTGAATACTGATTCACAATGGCAAATTGCTGCCATTGGAAGACTGACAGCTAGGCTGGAAGGGGAGTTCAAGCTTATCCCTCTTGGGGCTATGCAAGGACTCTAAGGTAAGCCCATGCTTGACTCTCACCGCCTTTTCCAGCCTAGCTGGCAGTTTCCCAACAGCTGCTACCAAAAAGGTTCTCTCTTACCTGCCCACCATCTTCTGTATCAAGATGGTGGGACAATAAAATGGGACCTTCTTCTTTTTCTCTCAGCATCCCACCTACTATGCTGACTTGAAAAGAGAAGACAATTCTATTTAGCAAAGGGCAGAAATTTGTGCAAGTTGTCTGCTTTAGAGATTGCCTGAACAGCTTCAGGAGACAATACTTTAGAGTTTGACATAATATGTAAGGACACAAATATTTTATCTTCCAACCCAAAAAGAACTCATTGTGAAAGGGGGTAAAGCAGTCTTGTCTAATGGTTCTAGGAAATCTGAATCTGGTAGACCCAGAGATGAGTATACTTTTTGGCCCAAATGAGCATATGTGGTGTGAAGCATCCAGGGCCAGGAATTGCTTAGGCATATCTACACACAATTGTACATTAATACGAAAGTACAATTCCTTTCATTACAAATATTCCACCCACACATAAGAAATAATACATCATTACAGTAAGAGGGCAGTAATATTCTTTCCATTTTTGCCATGAAACTTATTGATTATGTGCCATCAACTTGACTTTCAATGACTGCATGATACTTATATCTGCCACCGTAAATTCTCATCCATCTTTGTTGTCATTACTCACTCAGGTCAGCCATTATATTGAGTGCTGAAAATCTCAGAGCTTCAGCAGCACTATTAACACTAGCAGACCAATGACAGAGACCCACTCTTCCCTTCCAAAATGGGAATCAAGTGGGTAAAGATGAAAAACAGAAGAAAGTAGGGACAAAGGGCAAGGAACACTGGAGATACATCATAAGTTACACAAGAGGAGTTTGATGGATGCATCAAGTTTCCAAGCTGTCTCTGCCTTCTCTGTGTAGAGAAGCTATGACAACATTACTGGTTTGCATGGAACAATCTTGAATAGTCAAGCTCTGGAAACCTGGTCCTGGGGGCGGGGGGTGGGAAGCTAAATCTGTAACAGGGATGATTCTGGTACTATCCTGCTCTGTCTCCCCAATCTGACTTTTCCCAAATATAGAAGCTGTAAGTGGTGTCCTAAAGATTGCAATAATAGTAGGAACAATGGATACTTGCTTGTACAATTTGGCAAGGAACCAGACCACGTCCCATTGGCAGTGCATTGCCGTACAGAAGGTCCAGACAGAATATAGCCTTCCATGCAGGAATAAATCACAGAACTAGAGAATGTTGTGCCATCAATTTGAAACACTTTCCCATTAGCTGTTGTTCCAGGGTTACCACACTGAACAGCTTGAACAGTCAGTGTGAAAATGCCAGAATTGGGAAGGAAAACAAACACAGAGAACAATTACTTAATAGCTTAAATAATTGAAGTTGCAACTAACAATCCAATCTACTCATTAAAAAGTAGTTTACATGAAGGAGATAAAAATCCTTCCTTTTCAGTGGTATAAATCTTGCCCAAATGCCTTGAGTTTTCGTCCCAAATTTTCATACATTACATTCAGCTGAAATGGAGCCTTTCTTTAATTTTTTCTTGATTGAAATAGGGCTGCAGTTTTCGGAATACCATAAATATTCCTCCATATAAATTTCTACACAGCTTGAATTGAAATGCTGAACTATAGCTCAAAATTTGTGGCTTTCCATGAAAATATTCTCAGCTTTTATCTACTGTTGAAAAGATGAAACGGTTTGTTTTTATCAGCTTAATTTTTTATATCAAATGTTATCACTTTTTTCTGATCATTTACTGCTTCTGAGGAGGAAAATGAGCATTCTGAAAAGTAAATAAATTATTCAGTACTACAGCTACAGGGCCCAAAGCCATGTACATTTTTATCGTACACTAGAGTACTAATAGCTACCTACTGAAAATCTTTTTTTTAACATAAATAATCGTGTTGTGTTTTTTTTTTTTTTTACTTTAACAAACCCACTCATACAATTCAACTTTGGTAAACATTTAGACTCTCTAATAACAACTCTCTAATAACACCTCTCACTCTCTTATCTATGGCTTGATTCATAAAATTATTTTATTTTAAGAAAAATTCCAGATTGAATAGTCCAGTTTCAAAATTCACAAATCTTTTATGTATTTCCTTTTTGTGTGTGTTGTAATTCAGTATTTTCAGGCCAATTTTGACACATACCATATTTTTTGGAGTGTAAGTCGCTCCAGACTATAAGACATACCTACCTTTTTTGGGGAGGGAAACAAGAAAAAAAATATCTGCCTCTGCCTCCCAGCAATTTGCTTTGTTGCAGCAAACAGCAAACAGCCTGTTTCATTTTCATTTTCATTTTCAGCACAGCCTGATTAGCACAAAAGGAAAAAAATCTGCCTCCCAGCAATTTGCCTCCTTGCAGCAAAGAGTGGAGGCCTGCCGGCAATAGGCAATAGCAATCCCTGCAGCCTGAAACAGCTGAGGGTCAGGAGGCCGATCCAACTGACAATCAACTACTTGTGCTAATCAGGCTGTGCTGAAGCTGAAATGGGCTGTTTGCTGTTTGCTGCAAGGAGGTAAATTGCTGGGAGGCAGAGGTCAAAGGGTGGGGGCCAGCAGGTGGGCAGGGCTACATTCGGAATATAAGACACACTCAAATTTTCATCTTCTTTTAGGGGAAAAAAGTGTCTTATACTCCGAAAAATGTGGTATATATGTCTGTATGTATATATGTATGTGTGTAAACTTCTCATCATATGAATGAAATATCTACATCTGCCTCAGACATCCTGATACAAAGAAATAATTGTATCATTTGCGTAGTGAAGTCATGTTGCATTTATCATTTTGAAATCACTGTAGCTCATTATAGGTCCCCGACTTCTAGTTAATATAAAATTGAACTGTAATTTAAATATACACCATTAATGATTGATTTTGTGAAAAGTGAAAGCTCTTATCACTAACCATATTTATAAATCTAGCTAGTTTTTGCAAGCACTACACAGCTATTTAATACACAAATTTATGTAAAATAAACAAATCTGTATTAGGCCCTGCATACCCGTAAGGTGCATGATTATTTCTGCTGGTGGAGTGCTCAGATGTTACTAAAAATGCTAGAACCAAGTTGTTTTGTTGTACTCAGATGTTTGTATCCCATCAAACACTAATTACTGTTCAAATTCTTTGGAACAAATGATATTCCCACAGCGAATACAAGGATGCCAGATGCTATCAATGTCAATCACACATGAATTTTAGTTTGCATAAAATGTGCTGATTTTAAGAGAAGAGCCAAGACAATGACAATAGTCTCGAAGAGAATCTTATGGAAAAATTGTGGAAAAGAAAATACAGATAAAAAACAGCATCATTCTAGGAAAGATAGTTACCAAAAAAAGTATGCAAGTGCTAGCTATATCTTAATTAAAAAAAGTGTACTACAACACAGAAAGTTGAATAAAGAAAGAAAGCATAAAATGCTTTGCATAAATTATATAAAACAGCAATCAAATGTATGTATATTGAAAAACATATAACTTCAAATATATCAATGAAAGGAGTTTATTTCCCAGTTGGTAAACAAAAAAATTGGGAAAAAAATGGAATGATGGTCATTGTCCTACACTGAAACTATAAGGACAATGCTGAATACCAACTTTTTCACTATGGCAGAATGGCTTCTGAAGTAGAAAAATCTAATATTAGCATACTTTGTGCTGTGTCATGGACTGGAGGAATTCATTTTATTGTGATTGTGATTAATTTTTTTTTTTAAAAAAACCTTAGTATTCCTGACAATTTTAACTCTGAATTGGGTTCTACCTCTAGGAAAGAGAATATAATTTGTGTATAGACATATTCAAATTCAGTTTTTAACATCTCTCTGAGAAGTATATCTCCCTGCTCGTCATGACAGACACCTCTATATTAGGAAAACAAATAATATGCTTTATTAGAAGGCCACTTCTCCTGTTCTTTACCTTTTCCTGTATACTGTGTAGCAGAGCTTAGAACTTAGCTCAGAGAGCACAAGGATTTCACAGAGTTGTGACCATATTCAAAAAGTAAGGTAGGATTTTTAATTTACTTCAGGATAAATTTCACTACAACTATGTTCCATGGAAAACACATGAGTACAACTGCTTGCAATGCTTTAAGTCATGGATGTCCAACCTTTTGGCTTGCCTAGGCTGCATTAAGTAAGCAGGAGTTCCTACTTAACTTCATGAAACCAAAAAGACAAAATGTGCAGAACGACATCACCAAATAAACCCTGTCCTTCTGCACTTGAATTATGATATTTCATGCAAACACTGAAGGGTGCCTAATGATGCCCCTTTCATCATCTGATTTCCTTTTCTTCCCCCAAATGCCCATCAGTAGGATATAGGACAGATAGGTCAGTGAATACAAATGACTGAAAGAGGTGTAGAACAACTCGCCGTGGCCAACTTGCCACAGGACAACTTGCCATGGGACAATTCAACACAGGATAACTCAAGAGAGGGACAAGTAGAATTGCATCTCTCCCCAGTCTCAAGGAATTCTAACCTGAGAAGGTTCAAACTTAAAAGCAAGACAAGGCCTGCTCCAAATGAACTTGTCCCTCTCTTGAGTTATGTCATGTTGAATTGTCCTGCGGTGAGTTGTCCTATGGCCAATTGGCCGTAACCATGTGATCATGTGATGTGACCACTCACATGGCTGTGGTGAGTTGTCCTATTATGGACTGAAACTGTTGGAAGTAGCCTAGGATTTGGTTTCCTCAGGATAGAGATAGATAGATAGATAGATAGATAGATAGATAGATAGATAGATAGAGATAGAGATAGAGATAGAGATAGAGATAGAGATAGAGATAGAGATAGAGATAGAGATAGAGATTAGATATATAACTTTAGGTCATCAAAACTATATCCTAGGATTTGTATATATGTATGCATATATGTATGCATATGTATGTGTATATATGTATGCGTGTTCCTTCCTTCCTTCCTTCCTTCCTTCCTTCCTTCCTTCCTTCCTTCCTTCCTTCATTCATTCATTCATTCATTCATTCTTTCCTTTCTTCAAAACTATACCTGACTGTATTAGGGTCATGAGGGTTAAGCAGCTAATAGATTTCAGATAAATGATGACTTTATTATAACTCTTTCTTTTATAAAGACATGTAGTGATTTTAAAACCAATACACCATTATAGTTATGAAAATAATTTACCTTTACATTCAGGTTGCCTTCCTGTCCAACTTCCATTTGCTAAACAAGTTCTTTCCTCTGATCCATGAAGGATGTAACCAAGCTCACAAGAGAACTGTACAACACTTTTAGTTCTAAAATTACTTTGTTCTCTAGAACCATGGCCTGGGATTCCTGGATCCCCACAGGTCCCTGTTGTGTCACCTGGAAGAAAAATATCATTTGGGGTAGAATACTTAGGGTTACATTGTATGCTATAGGAACCTGAAACAAGAGGAATCAATTTATAATCAGTACAGAAATAAAAGTAGGCTACAAAAAAAATGGGTGTACATTCCAGACTTGTTAATTGTACACTGACTTTCTCAATTTGGAACATACAATACTCAGTTGAGACCACAGAAATTTCAAGTCCCTTATTTAATGTTCTCGATTTAAAAAAACAACAAACAAAACAAAATAAAACAAAACCAGTGCTTTATTTCCATGGTATTTTTTTAAAGAAGCTGTCCAGCTCAATGTAGAATATGAGTTATAACTGAAGTCAGTGGCTTTTTGTAGTTTAGAATCAAATTATCTTCAGGGTAAATTACACTGAGGCAAAAATCAGTGTCCAAGTTATTGTAATAAAAATGCAGCTTACCAAGAGTAAAATGTGATACACATTACAAGAAAAATAGTTGTAGAACTTTCTGGAATTTCAAGCTTGTAGGTTATTACAAGCATTGTAAAATAAGGTGAAATATATTCCTACATTTCTAGATATATCTGGAATATGAGAAAAGATTCCATCTACACATTTATATGCCCTTTAGCAAATAATCATATATAGGCAATCCTTCTAATATTATTAGATTATATAGAAATAGTGTCTCTCCTATTGTTGTGTGATTAAAGAATAGGATATAATAACAAAGCATGTTAGGAATTCTTGAATGCACATTAGTTTTGCCACAAGACAATTATTAAACCTGCTACCTTATAGAAGATGTACCTCCTCAGGATTACAAATCATAACTTCCATGTGGGAGTTAATGCACAGAAACTGATTTGTGCTTCTTGTTTATATAGGTATACACAAGTCCTTGACTTGTCTGAATATGCTGTTTAATACAGTTTTTTGTTTATCTACAGTCCAACTCGGTTATTATTCAGTTATCTGTTTAACATTAACAGATGCATTTGTTTAAAGCTCAAATATCCACCTCTGCAACTTTCTGATAAATCTACCAAACACAAGGTAAACAACACACATACACAGGCACACTCACAAATCACTACATAGATGCTCTATGAATTTAAACTCCAGTAAGCCTTTACCAAAACAGCCAAAGTTTTGGGGAATCTAAACAACAAAACATTAACTTTAAAGATGTAGCTAATAGATAATACTATAAGTTCTGCATACAATTGAGCTTGCCAGAGATTTCTATCAGTTTACACCAATAATTTATACAATTAAAACTGTCACAACACATTTGTTTAAGGAAAAATGTTAAGACATTCAGCCTCCTTCAAGTTATGTGTTGTGGTTCTGATGTGATTACAATGTTAAACAATACAACAAAGCACAGCTCTGCTTGCTATCTATACTATTAATCAAACTACTATATATTTCTATTTATTTGAAAGCTGTATTGATATCCTTATGGAATTTTAGTTCTCTAATATGCCATGAATTAGAGATAGTTTTGAAAAATCTTCTCCAGAAACTATTCCTGTATGAGTTCAGCAGAAATAGATATTACATGGATGAACACTGTTGGTATGCAGCAATTATTTTCTAAATTAGATAAAAGCAAATCAAGGGTAAGACAATAGTAATGCACAAATTACTCATATGAAATGTAACATCCTTCCCAGTAATATGCAAAAAGAAGAGAATATACAAATTCAGTATCTACTTTTCAATCTTCCTATTTTATTTACTATTTCCCTTTTAGATTAAATTTTATTTGAAATCTACCCCTTCCCTTCTAGATTTACGAGTCTATATGTGAATGAGGGGACCTAATGTGAAACTTATCTTTGATTACAGCTGTTTGTGATTTAAATGCGGTCTGGTTTTGAAGTCCTGAAAAGGAATAAGAGCAGCCAAAAAGAAAGCTGTATTGGATGGTTTCAAAAGCACATTCACATACTTTAAAAGTGGTACCTGAGCAATGAGGCATTGTTCCACTCCAGTGTCCATTTAATTGGCATGTCCTGGATGCCTGGCCTATTAATGATCTCCTTCCTGAACAAGAATAATGAACAGTAGATCCAAATGTGTATTTCTCTCCAGAAAGAATCGCATTTGGAGGAATGCCAGGATGACCGCAGTCAATCACTACGATACATAAATATTGGAGATAAAAATTATGTTATAATCAGCCAACTAAATTCTTCACTATGCCAGTGCATCGTTAATATGTTTTACCAGTGATCAATAAAATATTATGATGAAGATGATCTTATAGCCATGTTTTTCATATAATTCATAGAACAAATTGCTCTTTATTATACCAATGTATTTACTAACCTATAGCTATTCATTCTCTCTCTTGCACTCTCTCTCTGTGTTCATTATATTCCAAACCTTTTAAAAATAAACAAATGTGTAGACTTATTTGAATTTATACAGAGTATTGGAATAATAGTTTCTTCTTGTTGTTGTTAGTTGCAAAGTCGTGTCCGGCCCATCACAACCCCATGGACAATGTTCCTCCAGGCCTTCCTGTCCTCTACCATCCTCTGGAGTCCATTTAAGCTCACGCCTATTGCTTCAGTGACTCCATCCAGCCACCTCATTCTCTGTCGTCCCCTTCTTCTTTTGCCCTCAATCTTTCCCAGCATTAGGCTCTTGTCCAGTGAGTCCTTCCTTCTCATTAGGTGGCCAAAATATTTGAATTTCATCTTCAAGATCTGGTCTTCTAAAGAGCAGTCAGGGTTGATCTCCTCTAGGACTGACCAGTTTGATCATCTTGCGGTCCAAGGAACTAACAGGAGTCTTCTCCAGCACCATAGTTAAAAGGCCTCAATTCTTTGGCACTCAGTTTTTCTTATGGTCCAACTTTCATAGCCATAAATTGCAACTGGGAAAACCATAGCCTTGATTATACACATTTTTGTTGGCAGGGTGATGTCTCTGCTTTTTCGTATGCTGTCTAGATTTGCCATAGCTTTCCTCCCCAGGAGCAAGCGTCTTTTAATTTCTTGTTATAGAGTATCCCCTTTTGAGATTATGTTGTGATCATGCACAAAACATTAGAGTTTGGTCTTAGGCTTGGACATTAAAAGATATCTTCTCCTATTCTGACTCTGAAAACAGAGCCATTAAGAAATGGAAAGGTCAGTTTGAATAAGTCCTAGGAGTCAAGAGATGTGCTTTGTGAGAAATATCACCCTGTAAATTCAGTTTTAAAAAGAACTGTTATAACATTGCTTTCAAATGAACCTAGAAATGACAAATACCTATGCAACCATCAAGATCAATAGTATTATGGCCTTTCGAAATCAAATCTACTTCCATAAAAACAGCTGGCTGATCAGCCCGATCCATTCTTCTTGTAAAGTGCTAATCTAGACAAGAGTTGGTTTCCCAGCTAAGGTCAATTACTTTGGAATAATAATTCATTTTCCACTTTCCTTACAAGGTCATCATCCTTTTCATTTTGCAGAGCGAAAGTCAGTCAACCCTCTCAAATCTGCTCAGTTGCCACATCATGGCAGAGGAGGGGTTCTGGGAAGGATGAACAAAGAGAACTGGTGACCCTCAGAAAGGTCACCCAAGTTATGGAGAACATTTTAGCTGCTCCACTAAAGCAAGCAGGCAACTGCTATGTAGGAAGATGTCAGGAAAAGATACTAATTTTAGTGACATTGGGGTGGGGAGGGAGAAACTTCATTTCATACTCCGTAGAAGAAAGACAATAGTAAACCACTCCTTTTTTTATATATACTGTATATCCAGGAAAACCACATGAAGAGACATTATATATTCTGTAAATCCAGGAAAACCACATGAAGAGGCATTATAAAGTGATTGATGATATAGTGCCAGATGATGGTTCCTTCAGGTCAGATGGTCTTCATCAAGCTACTGAAGAAGAGCTGAGGATCTTTCGGAGCACTAATAGTGTTTAGGATGCTGATAGATTAAAGCTCTTAGGACATATAATTATTGATGTTACCAGGTACAAAAAGAAAAACTGAAATAGTAAAGACAGGGTTGCCCTTGGGAATGTGAGACATTCTTTCTGGTAGATGGATGAGTGCTTTACAGCTAAATAAAATAAATAAATGAACATAGGTAAATTCAGCATATGAAAAGATGACTAAACATTGACATCGTAGGCATCAGAGAAATCTCAGTGGACTGAACTGGGATAATTTCAGTCAGAAAACCATATTATTTTCCACATAGGACCTAAAAAACAAAGAAGAGATTCTATTGTCTATGAAGAACTAGCACTGCATATTGGACATTAATACAATTGAGTGAGTCCAGAAATATTTCATGAGAAGAGTTCTTCACTCTTCTACTCGCAACAGAATACCTTATGCCACCACGCTTGAAATTTTGGGTTTAGACAACTTAGAATTATGCTGCCTTCGGTCTGACCTAAGCGTAGTACAAATTATCTGCTACAATGTCCTACCTGTCAATGACTACTTCAGCTTCAACCACAACAATACACGAGCACACAATAGATACAAACTTAAGATAAAGTGCTCCAAACTCGATTGCAGAAAATACGATTTCAGCAACAGAGTGGTCAATGCCTGGAATGCACTACCTGACTCTGTGGTTTCTCCCCCAAACTCCCAAAATTTTAATCTTAGACTGTCTATTGTTGACCTCATCCAAGAAGCTTCAACTGAAGAAGGTTCTTGTATGAGAAGCAAAATATTTTCAAGGAAAAACAAACTGCTGTTGCCTTTCAAAAAGGCACCTTTGGCAGCAAGGAATGCCACTGCTTTCATAAGAGCAATAAGAGAATTGCAAGCACCTGCTTGGGTACAATGCAATGGGCAACGGAATAATATGAATTGGACCTTGTGGACCCCTTTTTAATAGGACAATTGTCCAAGTTTATGGGTTCATAATGATACTGAAGAAGACAATTCTAATAAATGTTACGATCAAGTTCCATTTGAATGTGATAAAACATGCAAGCCAGATGTGCTACTTATGGCTGGAGACTAGAATGGAAAGACTAAAGTTGGAAAGAGTAAGGAGGAAAAAAGTAGTTAGATTGCATGGACTAGGTACCAAAATAAAGCAGGAGATCAACATCCTAATTTCTACCAATCCAATTATTTCTTTATCACGAACACAGTTTTCAAACAACTGAAATGATACTTAAATACATGAACTGTAGAAGCAGAACTACACAGAAATCAGATGGATTATATTATTGGTATAAGGTGATAGAGCTCAAAGATAGTAGAAAGGATCTGCCCTGCACTAACTTGAGGAACACATAATGAATATCTGTTTTTGATATTGTTATGTGTCTTTATTGATTTAATTATTTTATTTTTGATTGAAAATATTTTATTGAAAATTATTGAGTGTGGCCTAATGAAAGTCAATTGATTGAGATTAACTAAAATTGAAAAATAAATAAATAGATTAACAAATTAACAGAGTTGGAAGAGACCTTGTGGGTCATCTAGTACAACCCCCTGCCCAAGCAGGAGACCCTACACCATTTCTGACAGATGGCAGTCTCTTCTTGAAAGCCTCCAATGATGAAACTCCCACAACCTCTGAAGGCAGTTCGATTGGTTGATTGTTCTCACTGTCAGAAAATTTATCCTTATTTCTCGTTTGAATCTCTCCCTGATCAGTTTCCACCCATTATTCCTTGTCTGGTCTTTAGGTGCTTTGGAAAACAGGTTGAATTCCTCTTCTCTGTGATAGCCTCTCAAATATTGGAACATTGCTATCGCCCCGGTCCTTCTCTTCACTAGACTAGCCATGTCCACTTCCTGTAACCGTTCTTCATATGTTTAGTCTCCTAATCATCTTTGTTGCTCTTCTTTGCACTCGTTCTAGAGTCTCAACATCTTTTTTTATAGTGTGGTGACCAAAACTGGGTGCAGTATTCTAGGTGTGGTCTTACTAAGGCTTGATAGAGTGAAATTAGTACCTCACTTGATCTTGATTGAATCCCTCTGTTAATGCAATTTAGGATTGCATTTCCTTTTTTGGCTGTCGCTGCACACTGTTGGCTCATATTTAACTGGTTTTCCCTATAGTCCCAAGACTTCCATATTATTTCAGACACTGACTTACCTTAATCAGTTTTTTTAACAATTGAATTGGATAACAGCTGTGAAGTTCTTTGAATACAAGTGTTTAGTACTGCTCTTCTTGCAAATTTTAATTATAAGTACCAATATTTTAAAATACTTACTAATACATTCTGGCAGAGGTTTATCCCAGTGTCCATTAGGTTGACAGACTAAAATTGAAGAACCAAATAAAAAATATCCAGGACTGCAGTCATAAAAAACAACTGTACCGTAGGTGAAATTTCCATGTTCTATTTTGCTTTCTCTTATAGAATTTCCAGGGATTCCTGGATCCGAACAGTTGACCACTAAACAAGAGCAATAACAGAAATTGACATGATCTGTATATTTCACATTAGAAAATAATATCAAAGATGTGTAAAGTTAACATTAATTAATGCTAGAATATAAAAAACTATGTATTTTTAATGCATTTTTTTGGGCTTACTAAAAAACTTGAAAAATGTATGCATTGTATTCTGTATGTATACATTCTATAATTTAATGTATCATATAATGAGTGGTGGTTTTATGTGAATAAAACTTAATGCCACTTTATCAGTCTCTGTAACCCTACAGAATTAATACTGAAGCATAGCAGTACTTTTTAACATCCACATTCCTTTTTAAAAATGAGTCACATTTATTTCCAATTCACATCCATTAGGAGAGATATAATATTAATGAAAATGCACTGCTTTCTTGTAAATAAGCCTACCTATCTTGCTTATAGGTAACCACAGAATTGCATAATCTTCATATATAATATTATATAAGGAGCACTTTGGACAAACTTCCTAAAGCTAATATAAAAGATTGCAGCGCCTGCAAAATATTGCCCTGAATGAAAATTACATTTTATAGTCATTATCTGTCTTGTCAAAAATAATTAGGCAACTTATTGAGCATACCTAGTGTTCTTTGTCTGCACAACAGTATATCTTGCTAGCTCAGCCCAGACACATTCAATAATTTCTATCATGCTAACCAGCGGTGCAGCTAAGTAATTTCAAACTCTGAACTTCACAGTTTTACGCTTTCTCTGTGGCAGCCATATCCATCACATCAGCTATAAAGCATGCATTAAACATGTTTCTCCTCCCCATCATCATCACTCTATATGGAGAAATCGTTTAAGTAAGGGCAGTTTCTCATTTTTAACTAATTTTCATCACGGCACCATAGGAAATAAATAAATAAATAAATAGCATTGGTGTTTGCTGCTCTGATGATTAAAGCATCGGGCTAGGAAGAAGTGTCCTTTAACAGGAGAAATATACCAGCACTTATTCCAACTTGACTTGATTTGAAAAAGTTAAGCGTGATCACGTGTGGCTAGAACTTGGATGGTAAATAATGACTCTCAGAAAATTCCAGAGTTACAGGCAAGATTAGAAAACTGAAAGAAAAAAGCCACCTACTGTTCTGACCTAGGCTTCCTTAGAAAGTAAACAGCACAAACTTAGTCCAGACAAACCTCTTTAATTCATACAGCTGTAAAGTACTTTCATTTACAATCTGCAAGGCTTTCAGAGGAGTGTTTACAAACACTCACCTTATCTCCCTTGGAATGCTGCCAGAGAACTAATTGCCAAATGCAGGGCAAGGCCAAACTTAGCACAGAGTCAAACAGAGCTTTTCCAGAGCTTTTACTAACCAGATGAACTAATTGCTTCCTGCAAAAGCTCAAGTCCCGTTCGTTTCTCTTTTATATCTTATGGGAGAGACCAATCATCTCCAAGCCTTACTCCCAAGTCGACCCTGTTTCCTTAATTGTTCCTATCTCCTGGCAGCTCTGCACATGAACATACTGGGAACAGGCTCACGCTGTTCTTCTGCCTCACTGATGTCAGACTCCGGAGACTCCAGAGGCAGCAAAAAACTACCAGATGGCCTTGGCCCTCTCTCTGTCTCCAACTCAGAGCCATTGTCCGAGCCTTCCCCAGACTCCAGGACTGGCCCACGTTCCTCCCCAACCTCCTCACTGTCTGAATCTGCTGCCAGCTCTGCTGGCCACTGGTGGGCCACCACACCTACTCAAAGAAAACTTCACCACACTTCACAAACATACACAAACCAGAATATGAATAATAAAATAAAGAATTATAATGATGAACAAAATAAAAAGTTTACCTCTAAGAAAAGAAGAAAATAACACAATATATTATATAATATAAAAACATAACACAACAGTAAGAATTGCTGGAATGTTAAATAAAAGATAAGTGGCAGTCCTATACAGTTCAGAATGGATTTTTAAAAATTACTTTTTACAAATTTCCTGAGTCATTTTCATAGTGTGAATGCTGCTCTGGTTTTTTTTTTTAAAAAAAATTATTTCCCACTATTAGGGAATAAATTAGCTTAACTTCTCATATAAGGACCTGCTCGCTTGAAGTTATTTAAGAAGTTAACTAGCCGCCAACAGGCAGTTTTGATTAATTTTTATACTAATCAATTTATTTCTCAGGATGTTCAAGAACTGGTTTGAAAGAAAATGGATATAAGCTGTTGATTTTAAAGCAACTCATTTGTTTCAATTTCCCCTTTTTAAACCAATGAAATTTCCTGATGTTTCAGCTTTTCAAAAAGAAACTGCAATCAATACACATATTAACTTTGATCTTTAGAAAAATAAAGTTTAAACTATTATAAATTAATGTTCAGTGACCGCCCCCCAATAATTTATCTTTTCCAAGTAATGTGTTAATGTTAATTTATCAGAAGATGCAGAAGGTTTTTATTTTTTTTAAAGGGAACTTTACAAAAAAAGAGGACATCTACAGAGTTTGTGTAGTTTCAAACAAAAAAAAAAGTGAAAGAGAAGACAAATATATTAAGAAAAACAAATTTCAAAATATATTGCACCCAGTTTTATGCATTGTTTCATGCTTCAGTCATTGTTACCTGCACACAGAAATACTCCTTCTGTTACCTGCACACAGAAATACTCCTACAAAGGTAGGTTACCAATAAAAAGTTCCTTAAATCTGAGACATTCCATAAATACATCCATGATGTTCTCTTGACAATAATACAGGGACAATATGCTGTGATACTTTATTTTATAATCTAGCATATGACCCTGGATTTCCTGATAGTTTTCCAACTACAGGTAGTCCTCAGTTTACAACTAATTACATAACAACCATTTTAAGTTATGATAGTTTTTTTTTTGGGTAGGAGGGACTTATGACCCAGATGTGAAGTTCTGAAGGCCACCTCTTCCATAGTCACATGAATGCATTTTGGCTGCTCGGCAGCCAACTTGCATTTATAGCCATTTGCAGTGCTCCATGGTTATGTGACTGTATACAACTTTTCTGTTGGCAAACTACACTTATTGTTGCAAAAAAAAAAAAAAATGCCGGATACCAAAAATGGTGAGCCACTTAACAAGTTAGTTAAAATGGTGGGCTCAATTACGGTCATAAATTGAGGACTATCTGTATATATGAATCGAATACAATTGTGCTAATGGTGGATTAAATGGATAGAGGAAAATAATTGTAGCTCTGGGTTGAAATGAGGGTTTCTTGGTGCTCTCTGAGCTTGGCTGTTTTATTGCAGACGTTTCATTACCCAAATTAGGCAACATTATCAGCGCACTATGCACTGATAATGTTACCCAGTTTGGGTAATGAAACATCTGCAAGAAAACAAACAAGCTCAGAGAGTACCAACGACCTCTGATGAATCATAGCTAGCATTTTGAATGTCCATGTTAGCTGCGGACATTTCTGTAAATAAAAAATAATTTGAACAGAAGACTAAGAATAAAAATATCCGAAGTACCATTCCATTTGATGTTGTCTAACTGGAATATTAATAACATCCTCCCTATCATTAAAGTACCCACCCCTTTCATTAAAAAATACTATCTTTGACATATCTCATCTATCAAATTTTCCCCAACCCTTACCTTTGCATATAGGTGGTGGTTGACTCCACTGCCTATTTGACTGACACTGGGCTTTTGTTGGTCCTTGCATAACATAGCCAGTATTACAAGAGAATGTCACAACATCATTGAAATTGAAACCATTCCCACTTGTCCGTCCATAAATTGGGCTCCCTGGATGACCGCAACTGACAGCTAATATCAGAAGAAGAAAAAGAGAAGGAATATTGTTATAATTAGACACCATAGCTAACAATGTTAATCTCTTACTTTGTGAGATATTTTGGAGACTACACAGGTGATCCTGCACAGAAAGGAGAAAGTGTTGCATGAGAAAACAATGGTGTTGTCAGTGTCCACACCCAAATCCTTACCATTTCCAATTCATTAATGACCTAATTTGTAAGTGTACCCTATATTTCAGAATGCTGAATACTGATTGTAGAAAAGCTAAGACTGACAGAAGAAAGAGGCAGGTGAATGGGATAACAGAATATTTTGTTGCAGATTCTATTTTTATAAATAGAATCTCATCTGCAAAATAGTAACTTAATCCTTTTCTTTACAGTCCAGAAATACTCAGATTAATTAATACATTTAAATTAAATATATCCTAAAAGTCAATTTAGAAATATATCTACTAATGCTGCATGTTGGAAAATATCCTGGAAAAGAAAGGTTAGGTTTTATTCACAACATATGTTTGCTTTGTATGTCTTAAACTCCATAAGATAATGTTTAATGAATCTAATGATAGGTTGAAAAAAGGGGGAAAAACCCTCTTGTGATAACCTATTGATATGAATGTTTCACATGTTTATTACCTGCTTGACCTGAACATCAAATTCTAATGGTTACATCATTGTGACTACATTTATTTTTCATTTTATTTATTTTTCAGGAAACATGTACTGAAGTGCATGATACAAGAAGATTTGTACTCAATACAGTATAAAAATGGAGAAATGGAAAAAAATGGTGGGAAACAAATGTGAAATTGACCATGTCAGTGGTGTACAAGGAAAATCAGTACAAGATGTTTTATAGATGGCATCTCCCGCCGGCGAGACTTGCCAAAATGTTTCCAAATACGTCACCGATTTGCTGGAAATGTAAGAAATCTTATGGAACATATTATCATTTATGGTGGATGTGTGCATCTGCAAAAAAAATATTGGACTAAAATCAAAAAGTGGCTTGAAGAGATAACTGAATACCATATAGACTGGAAACCGGAACTATTTTTATTGGGAATACTCTCCAGAAACTATACCAAAGAAATACAATATTTAATTTTACATATTATAACAGCAGCCAGGATAACATATGCACAGAATTGGAAAAGCAACACTGTACCAAAAGAGGAAAAGGTGATAAGGAAAGACTTGGATTGTGCAGAGATGGACAAATTGACGAAAGAGATAAAAGAAGAAGATGAAACAGAATATTATTTAATACAGAATAAATTATATAAATGGCTAGAGGTCAGGAACAGCAAGTAAGAAGGATTACTAATATGCCACTAAACAGACAATATATGTAAAGTAATATATAGATACAATAATATGTATAACATATAAGGAAATAGATACATAAATAAGGAACAAGGGAACCACAAATATAAATATATGTAAAGATGGGAAGGGGAAAAACATGAATTTTAAAAGAAGACAAATATGAAATTGTTGTAAAATGGAAATTTATGTTTTGTGTTTGTTTCTGTTCTTGTTTTTAAAGAAAAAAAATAATAAAAAATATTTTAAAAATAAAGAAGATTTGTACCCAGAATTCTATTCTAAATTATAGCAATATCTAATATAGTATTTTAATAGGATCTCATTATAAAACTAAGTATTAATAAATAAAATATGTAAAACAATATCCTGTACAATTCTAAATTAAGAATTTTTTTATTTTTTTTTTGGCTTTCAGTATAGCACTGCTTTTTCCAAGATACTGTAGATAGATACAAATGTGCTGCAATCCTATTCTTCTGGCTATGAATTCTTGGCTTTATGTGCCATGAAGCCAATGTCCACTCTTAGCAACTGCATGAATAGATTTTCTCCAGGAAAATCTGTCTCCAGACTGGTCCTTCCTAGACACAATAGTCCCAATTTATCTGAGCAAAAAAAAAAACCTCTCTGTTAGCTCTTCTTCCAACTTTATCCCTCTCATCATCTTAGAAAAATATCATATAAGATACAAGGATGGATGCAAGATCTAACCAATTGCCAAATAGAATTAAAGCCGGAACAGTTTCTCCTGGGAATATTTAAGAAAAAATATGATAAAAAGATAAAATGTCTGATCTTACATATACTAACAGCGGCAAGGATTGTGTTTGCGCAACATTGGAAGGAAAATAGCACACCGCCACAGGGATTAGTAATCCTAAAAATATTTGATTGCACGGAAATGGACAAATTTACATTAGAGTTAAAGGAACAAGATGATTCAGATTATTATGTGGTATGGGAAAAATGGTACGAAGGGATAGACCATAGAAATAAGAAATGGAAATATACATAAAGAAATAGAATGATTAGAAATAGAATGTATATAATGTATATGCTGTATTGAATTTTGTATAAACAATGTCACAGTTCTGTTAATTATATATTAGAGATATGTAAAGGGAAAATCACAATAAAAAAAATAAAAAAAAAGAAAAATATCATAAAGCACATGATATCATAAATCACATGATAACCTCTTTTTTGTTACTTACGCACACAGGATGGAAGCTGACCAGACCAGTTGTGATCTTGCTGGCATATCCGTACAGAAGAACCAATGAGCCGAAAGCCAGGACTGCACTGATATACAACAGTATCTCTATATCCATAATTTTCACCAATCACCTGACCATTAACGATAAGATCTGGAATTCCACAATGACCCGCTAAAATAAAGCACAGAAATTGATGCAACGTTAGTTAAAAATGGGGACATCATTCTTCTTCTTCCGATATGATTAATATTACTCTTTTGTATTTGCTGTTTGAATAATACATTTCACTCCCATGTCTTTATGGAATAAATATTGTGAGAGTCAATGAAATGGTTGAACTGTTAGATTTTAATGCTATTGAGTAACCTTGAACTAAACAGCTATCTATGAAAAGTCAACTAGATGGCTATTTCTTCACAATCTCTCTGCAGCCTTTTTATCATAATAGCACAGAACTGACAAAAAACAATTTTCCCCACAAATATTTCAGACACTGTACCTCAACATCTTCCTTGGTCACATTAAATGTCAATTAATCCTACCTTGCTGAACCAGTGGTCAATGTTTTAACTAATTCTCCAAAACTGGATTAAGGACAGAAATATATAAAACTCTTTATTGCCATTCCTGTTGCAACCTTCATTTCTATCTGAAGTGGGAGGAGCTACCTCCAATTTAATTGTCCCAGGAGTAGTATGCTTATCCTGCATGTATTTTAGCTATATTCTTAAGTGTGTGTGTGTGTGTGTGTGTGTGTGTGTGTGTGTGTAGAGTGGGGGGAATCTATCCACCTTTCTACCATCAATTTACCAGCCACTTACAGTTAAATGTATTAGAAATGCCCATCATGGATGCTAACTGTTATCTCAACTCCTTCACCCACAAACTCAAGTTAATACATCTACACTAAACATAAGGCTGCAATATTACACCTATATATTGAGAAAATCCATTTGCATAGACACACATTCCTCAATTCTCATTAGCTAAGTGCTAAAACGCATGATGGCACAGACCTCCTTTGAAAGAAAATGATATATGAATTGTGGAAATAAAATAATGCGATTTCCGATATGTGAGAGCTCTAATTTACAGTCAATTTCATCTCCAAGGAAACCACTCTATCCCCCCACCCCCAGCTCATCTTCCAGAATGGCTGTCTCATTATGCTGTGAACAAGAGGATGCACAGGGATTTTAACAATGATAATATTACAGATAATTGGTAACTCTTTACGCGTAACCACCCCAGAGTGGGTTTTTAATTCCCTTTCTTTTCAATGAGTGGGAACAAATTCTCCAGCCCACTTCAAGTGCTTCAAATTCTTCTTTCAATGATGTCCATGATAAAGAGAGTCAGGATATCTCTTTGACCCTGGCATGACCCTGATATATTACAGCAAGTTGTAATAATTTTGTTGCAGGAAGCAGGAAGCAGCAACAGGAAGCAGCAACAAAGCACAATCTAGCAAAAAGGTGTATCTCCTCCAAACATTGCATGAAATAGAGACCTATGTCAGCCATCCTAAATAATAAAAAAGCAAGTTGTATTTGTGTTGTTCATCAGATAGCATACCACGCTTACCACCAAGTGGCTTTCCTGTGTCATTTTTCATACACTATTAATAAAACATGGCATTGCATGGTAATTTCCAGTGAAAGGATTACCATGAATGGCAAAGCAAAAAAGTTATGATTTCTTCTCTCAATCAGCACAGATTTATTTTTATGAGTAATGGAATGTCCATAATGTTTTTCATTCTGAATTTATTTAGTTTGTCAAACTGAACTAGTAGACTACTGTTGAGGAAAGTGTTGCATTTTTGGGGGGAGGGAGGAGTAGGGGGGTAGGGTAACCTTTCTTGGACCTACAGATTTTTATGTGTGTGTTTCTGAAAAAAGAAGAGACAGGAAAAAGCATTAAAATACCAAGAAAAAGCCCAACTTTCTCAAAGCTATAGGGGGGTGTCTTTTTCAATCTTGGGTTCTCTACAAAAGATCTGGGCATTCGAGGGTTCTACACAGGATCTTATTTGTTCCTAGCACTGCATCAGTAATGGTATTCAGCCATTTTTATTTAATGGTGGTACTCAGCCGTGGCTGCGGGAAGCTCCACCCACCCATCCAGACGTCATCACATCCCGTTTTTGATGCTCTGTGCATGCACGGAAGGCTCTGTGCATGCACGGAGGTAGCGTGTGCACTCACATTTGTGAACTGGTAGTGAAGGTAAGTGAATACCACTCTTGCACTGCACTGTTCTGGATAGAGATCTCTCATGTTATTCCAAGGAACTACTGAACTTCTTGGATCTTAGGATAGAAGTGCTGAGATGGGACTATTTTAGCTATTGCTTTCCACACACTCTGTAGTTCCTCATTCATGGTGTGGTACTTCTGCAGCTTCTCATACTCCTAATATGTATGTATCACAAACACACACACACGCTATTACTACAATTTTTTTTTCCCTACCGAAGAGAATTTGTAGAATGGCTTGATTTCTGACATAATGTGCACACTGATTCTGCTTGTTAAATTAGCAACATATAGAAATACTTATTTGGGTAGGTAAATTAATAAACATTCTATAGCATTTTTTTTTCTTCATTCATTTTTGATATACAGTATATTGCACATTTTCTCATTAGATGGATAGATAAAACATTCTAATACAATGTTTGTTTTATTTTAGCCAGTTTGGTCTAGTGGTTAAGGCACCAGGCTTAATCAGGAGACTGTGAGTTCAAGTCCTGCCTTAGGGGACCAATCTTTGGGCCACTTGTTCTCTCTCAGCCCAACCTATCTCACAGGTTTGTTGCTGTGGGGAAAATAGAAGGAGAAAGATGTGTTGGATATGTATACCATCTTTTTTTTTTAATTGAAAAAGTTTTTTCAAATACAGATTTCCCCCCTTTCCCCCCCCATCCTCCCTAACCCCCCCTCCCCCTCCCCTCCCCCTGTGGCTTCTCCAGAATAAAACCCAAATTAATAACAGATTATATAATACTTTACCATCGTTTTTACTCCACCCCCCATATGCTGACCCTTTCTTTCTAACAATATTATTATATCCCCCTTATACTATACATTTCAAAGCAACATTCAGCTGTAAAATTATATAATAAATCCTAATTTGGCAATTTCAACTCATAATCTATCCATTTCCTCCACCCCCATACATATATCTCTTAATTCAAATATTTTACGTATATTAATATAAGATAACACCCCTTTTCCTAAACTAAACAATCAGTAAGCTAGCCTATCTCCACCCACTTTCCTGCAGGTCTACCATACATAATATTTTCAATATCTTTGTTCTTCTGCCCACACCACTAAAAAATATTTCCATATATAGATAAAATCCTCAAATGACTTTAAGCTTGTAATCCATATGGTATCTTCTGTAATGTCTTTCAACTGGATTGTTAATTCCATCACCCATGTTAGGGTAACATCAAATTCTAATTCCAACAGTATATTCAGTATCTTCAATTACCATCTGCCCCCATCAATAATAAATGTTTTCGTATATATAAAACCACCTGAGTGACTTTATATTTATATTCCATATAGTGTCTTCTGTAATGTCTTTCATCTAGATTATTAATTCCAACTACCGTATTAGGGTAACAACCAGATCTTCTGCATGCCCCAGTCCCATAGTTCTCTTGCTTTATAGCTCAGCATAAACGTAATCCATTTGTCAAAGAGTCCAAAATAGAAAGTTCCAATCCACTCAATTAAAGGCCATCTTCCACATCCCAAAAGCACAGCACTGCAGAGATCTGTCACTCTCCTCAAAATAGTAAAAACCAATACTTTGCCTCAGCTATATTTTCATGTTTTTAATCGTCTCTTAAGTAACTGGCATTATACTGTTGTTTAGTCTAAAAAATTTTATTTTTGTAGGACCTGCTTCTTCTTTTCTTGACTTTTTGTGGCTTAGATCTCCATCCTGGTTGCCTTTCTAGGAGTTGTATATCAACTGATTGATTTCCATGCTGGTGTGTAACTTGATAAGTCATCACATTAGAATCCAAAGCTGCCTCTCTTGTATTTATAGGTAATCCAACTATAACCTCTGAAGGAGAATCCATAAGCGGCTCGTCCACAAAAGCCTCTGTAACTTGTTGTTTTTCCATTACCTCCACCTCCATCTGCTTAGCCTGGGTTTCAATCTCTTGTTGATTTTGCTTTTCTTTATTCCCCTCATGTATTATACATGGAGATGTTGAATCCATTTTAAGAACCTTATAATAAAATTCTTCCACTTTTTCAACAGTATTTAGTTGATATCTTTCTCCTTGATATCTCAATATTATTCCAACTGGAGCATCCCACCTAAATGGGATGTTTTGTTTCTTTAGCTCAGTCACCAAAAAAACAAAATCCTTTCTATCTTTTAACATCTTGGGCAGCAGCTCTTTAAATGTCCAAATCTTCCTTCCATACATTTCAAGAGTGGAGTTAAAAGACTTTTGTACAATATCATTTCTTATTCCTTTATCAGTAAAGTAAATCACCACATCTCTAGGCAACTGCCTTTGCTTAGCCACCCAAGAATTTGCTCTGTAGGCCTTATCAATCTTACAGGATACCTCTTCAGGACTAACCTTTAAAATCCCAGCCAGAACTTCAGCAGACATCTTTCTCAAATCTTCTCTTTTATCTTCCTGTATTCCCCTAATTCTGACCGCAAATTCCATAAATCTGAATTGCATCATTATAACTTCATTTTCAATCCTTTGTTTTATATTATCTGCGTTGTAAGTCTTGTAGTCAGCTTCCTTTATTTTTGACTCTACTTCTGAGCTATTTTCTTGAATCATTGTTAAATCATTTTCAATTCTTTGTATTTTATTATCCAAATTATGAATCTTATAATCAACTTCCTTCATATTAGACTCTATTTCTGAATTAAACTTTTCATCCATCTTTATCATTGCATCTAAGAAACTTATCATATGTTGCTTGAATTTATCATACTTTTGTTGAACCAACTCTTTAATTTCCTGTCTAAATTTTTCAAGGTTCTGGTTCACAATCTCATCATGTCTTGCCATCTCCTCCAATACAAATTGCGTTAGATCTTTAAAGCCATTCCTCTGCATCTGCAAACTCAAAACTTGTTCATGTGGTTTATAAATGGGGGAGCCCCCCCCCACAG